GACGCAGTGCGCCACCGCGTCGAGGCGATCCCAACTTCCGACGTTTGGGGTTGAGGGGTTTAGGGTTTAGGGCTGAGGGTGTAGGGTTTAGGGTTTAGGGTTTAGGGTTGAGGGTGTAGGGTGTAGGGTTTAGGGTTTAGGGTTTAGGGCTTTTGGGGCTTAGGCCCAAGCCTGGATACTAAATCCCGAACCCGAAACCCTCAAGAACCAACCCTCAAACCGAGGCCTTCCTTGTAAAAGGATACTTACCAGATAGACTATGCCAAATTATGACACAAACCCTACGGAATAATTTCGCCAAACCCTGAACATTCAATCCGGAACAAGAAACCCTAAAGCCCTGACCCTTAAAATCCTAAACCCTGGAAACCCTCAAACTTTGAACCCGTAAACCCTGCGCTCCTGGCCCCACTTCATGACCTTGTCGATGGTGGGGGTCTCCAAACCCACGATCTCAGCCAAGCCTTTGGCGAAGCAGAGTCCGGTAGGGATGTCCTCTGCCAAGTAGCCTTGGCTGACTGCCGAACCCCTACTAAAAGTTGAACCTTTAGCATACTTACTATGGTTCATATACAAACCCCCTAAGCCCTGAACCCGAAAAGTTAAAGTCCTAAGAGACAACCAGAAGAACGCCAAGTAGCGGTACTTCAGATCCGGCATGAACTTGCCGTCAACCTCTTTGCGGGGAGGGCTGAGGGGATGAGGGTTCAGGGTTCAGGGCTGAGGGCTTTTTGGTGTTTTAGGGCTTAGGGCTTAGGGTTTAGGGTTTAGGGGGTAACTTGACATCCACCTCTTTGCAGGGGTGCTTCAAGCCGTCGTAGGCAGCGTTGGTGTTCATGCAAGCCTTGAGCGAGGAGGTGTCCTTCATCTGCCCATCGTAGCAGTCCAAGTACCACTGCTTCAGCGTACCTGGAAGGACAACAAGGATCCTTTCTTATCTGGGCTTCCTTGTTCATATTATGAACCCCAAACCACAAGAAAAGTCAAAAGGATTCGTAAGATAGCCCCGGGCACAAGCATCCTTCATGTCCAAGCCTTTGGCAACCTCCTCCATCTTCCGGCACAAGAGCTGCACCTCATCGGTCATGCCGGTCAAAACCGTCTCCGTGAAGTCATCGACGCCTTGGTAGAAGAGGGGGGCCTCATCCTTGGCCGCACCATCCCAGCTCTCTGGGCCCCATCGACCATACATCACGCCGGGGTGGACGATCATGCCCGGATTACGGAGGCTGATGCCCAGGTTGTTCGGACTCTCCAGCACCTGAAACACTAAACCCAAACCCTACCAAGCCCTACAGTCCTAATTCCAAAACGGTCAGCCCTAAACCCTAAACCCACAGATGCCCAGGTTCTTCGGGCTCTCCAGCACCCCAAATAATATAATGGGTAGGCTTATTTGGGGACCGAAGGCCACCAAGAAAAAGAGGCCTTGATTCGAACCCTCTAGCCGCATAGGCTTCATTATAGCTCCTTTTTGTAGCTTATATTTCGGATCCTATAAGGTAACCTCAAAAAAGGAACTACAATGGAGTCTATGTGTACGCCGCCTGAGGGTTCACGCCAAGAAGGCCCTGGAGCTTGGCCAGGGCCTTCTTCGTTGCCGACACGGGGGTCACCTGGGCTCTTCGGAAGGAACTTAGTTGAATTTACCATAGTTTAGGGTCCCTGTAAAGGTTCTATACGGGTTCTAGATGGGTTCGTTCCATCAAGGTTCTGGGTTAAGGCATTTGTAGTAAGTTAGGGTCCCTTCAAGGGGTTTATAAGGGGTCTAGAATAGAAGGAAGCAGAGCTCAGGAAGTTAAGTGAAGTTACCATAATAAGGAAATCATATCGTGAACTCTGGCTCCCTGTGCTGGTAACTTAAAATTAGTTCCTGAACAAGAACCCAGTCACGGCTGCAAGAATGTTGTTCTTAGTGCCGAGGATGGTGGCCTTCTTGCCCCACTCCGTGAAGCGGCATGCCCAGGGCAGTGTCTCGAAGCCGCCTTACTTGCCCTTCTAACAGCTCACATTTGGGGAATGTCTTCGGATTGCACACAGGGATTACGGTGCCGCCCCCCCCCCCCCTCCCAAAAAAAAAAGAAGCTTAAGGATTCTGACTTCACTACTAAGCTGCAGAAGATCATGTCCTTGGCCTTGTCCCCAAGCTTCGAGGCGAACAAGATGTCGCCGCCGGAGCGCGCGGGCATCGTGGCCACGATGGTGCCCGGCTTCATGTAGGGCGCGAACTTCTCGAAGTACTCGCCATGTGCGAAGGATGGAACCACAAGCAAGATCAAGTCAGCATCCTTGGCGACGGAGGGGTCGTTGGTGATGTCCTTGGGCTTCGACTTCATGACTCCACCACCTGGGGTTGTGAGCTCGAACTCCGCCTCACCCAAGGCATCCTTCCACTTCGCGGCCTCATCGGCGAAGAAGGACACGGCGATGGTCTTGTACCTCATCTCCAAGAGCCGGGCCCAAAAAAACTGCAAAACTTCTCCTATCATGGACCCAACATATAATGTAACATATACAGTAAGGCATAAACAACAAGTTCAAAGTTCTCCCATTGGCTAAATAAGGTACCTCACGGCAAAGAGGCCCGTGGCGACCTGCGCAGCGTTCCCGCCGCCGCAGCACAAGACCGTGAACTCTGCATCGCTTCCGCTCATGGCTGAGAAACGGGATAGGGAGTTCCTACTGGCAGCTGGGACTTGACAAAGGACCTCACCACGAAGCATCTACTATAGAGGCCTTTATAATTAGA